CTAGATGCCACAACATGTTACCTGCTTCTGTTGGCAACATTTAGAGCAGTGGTTCTCAACCCTTGCAACCTTAAAATGTGGGGGCATTCAAACCCCAAAATCTCCCCCCCCTTGAAGTCCACACATCTTCAAGTTGCTAAGGTTGAGAAACACTGATTTAGAGGATACTAATACTGGGAAGGCTATCCTGATACTTTAATCAAAGCTTAGGAAGTTTTTAGGTGGTAGACACTTACACAATTTCATTTGATCTTATAGATGGAATTTTAATACTTAAAATGACTAAAGTCTCATGAGATTTCATGTGAGAACACAAAGTTCATGAGAGCTCTGGGTCATTTTAATTTCTATGTATTTTTATATTATTTTTAATAAAATCTTTTGGCATCACTAAATGTTGTTTCAGAACCACTGTTCTAGGAAATGGAATACTGTGGTTTCTGGCATAGATCCTAAATTGTCCCCCAAAACTCCTGAAATCCAGGTTTGCCCAGATTTCTATAGATGAGCCACAATTTCTGAGCTAATGTAATAAATAATGAAGAGTGAGAAATTAGGTGTATAGTGTCTTCAGGAGGTTTGCCTGCTAATCAGTGTTAGAAAAAGACTTGAAAAATTGAAGCTGAACTGCTTCCATGCCAGAATTCTGGAGAATGGACTTAGCATCTTTATGTGGAAACTCTATTCAATTAATTTATAAAATAGATTCAAAGAAAGAGCTGCAACTTACTCTTCTACATTTGTAGGGTTCCCTAAGTAACCATAGGCTGCAAATGGAGAGTGAAACAATAAAATTATTTTCTTCAGTTAATTATGGAGGGGAAGAACAGACTTTTGTTTTTGTTTTTCTTTTTTTTATAACAGAAGTAATCAGACAGTTGCTCTCCTTTTATTGTTTTGTGCTTTATCCAAAAAAGTCTTTCCAAGTTCCTTTAGGTCTCCTGGTTTCCCTGGAGATAACTCCATTGTCTTGGCTCTCCAGAGCTCTGACAGTAACTAACAGATGTTTTTGAACCAACTCTGCTGCTGTATTTACAATTCAGATTGTTTGGTTCTAACTGTATTAAAACCCTTCAAGTATAAATAATATGACATATTGTTATCAAAAGCAGCAGATGTAACGCTAACAAGCATATTTTCCTGGTTGGAACAGGGAGAAGCAGAAAGCGAGACAAGTGCCAGAATACAGAAGTGTATCCTCAGCTTGAAACGGAACTATGTCCTTGCGCAATGTTTACCTCCCAGCCCCATGGGAATTGGTCAGAATGCATAATTTCTGTAGGAAAAACGGAGCTACAATTAGACCTGAGATTTCACAGACATGCCAAAGAATGCGGAGAAGGTGTGCGCTTCCGAGCCCTTGCCTGCTATGATAAGACCGGCAGACTTGCAGAACCCTCTCAGTGCAACCATTCAGGTAAAAGAGCATGGAATGTATGCAAACATCAGGCCCTTAAAGGTAGTCCTTTGTTACGCCTCCTTTGGTATCCAGCTAATGTTGCACTTGCTGTAGCCAACACTGATGTTACAATAAATCCCATAACATAAGACAAGAAAAGAGAATACAGTTCTGTTAACCAAACTGACTATGTCAGTGGGCTTTAAGAAGATAATGTGTGTAATAGCACTTCCTTAATAACATCTATTAATGAATATCTATAGTACCATAGCTGTACAGAAGCTAGATTTTAGATTGGCAGACATGAATGAAAAATGTTGTCTACTTAATTGTTTTTATTGTAAACTGCTTCAAGAGGGGACAGCATGGAAAGCGGTATGGAAAATATAAAAATATAATCTCACTTCTCTTGCTATAGATGTGAACTCCAGCTAATTATTCTCTAATTAGTTTGATACTTTAGTAAATCTTAAGGCAAAGCTACTTAGTTAAAGAATAACAGCTGTATGCAGTATGGCTTCCTGCTATGCCTGTCCTAGAAATACTATATTATTAGGGTGGGTAGGTTCTCTCCAAAAAGAAAGCAGCTTAACATTTTGCAAAGTGTGGAAATTGGCAATTGACCACCTCATGAATGTCATAAACTGGAGTTACATTAACAATTGTTCCCCCTCCAAAGCTGGAAAACATTTCTCAACATCTAATCATCATATTGTCTATTCACTTTTTGCATGTTGTCACACTCTGTTCTGTTTTTGTTATTGCTATTTTTGTTGTTAATAATTAGTATTGTTTCTGACCCTTTAGTCTTGTCTTTGCTCAGCTTTTTCTTATTTGATTTTTTTGTCATGCATTGCCTCTTTTCATCAGCATGCAGTATCCCCAATGGGAAGAATAGCCTGTTAACAGTGTTCAAGTTGTACCCATCAGTTTGACTGTAATGAGAATCCAAGGGGAAAACCAAACAGAAGGAGACAGTATGAAGCTTCTCTGTAATGGGGGCGTTCATTGGAGTATAACAATTCCATTCTAGCAGTGACAGTAAATTCACAGAAGGTAGTTCCTTATGAATCACTGCACACCTTTCCAGATTTTGCCATTTGAAAATTTATGTGAGAAAAAGTAACACAGACAAGTCATTTGCTGGGCAGGACTTCTCCATATTTTTATAGCTTGGCAAAAATGTTAAAGCAGGACTCTTTGGAAAAAGTATGGTACTGATAAGTTCTTGTGAATATACCTTACTGGGAAAGCAGAAGAAAGTCAGGAAAATGTGTTGCCTGCAGAAGCCATTTCTTGTCCTTGTACACTCAGACATGTAGCTTTATATGATTATTACTATTTAAAATGCTCTGAACTTCTTCGTTTTATTCGTCATCACAACTTCATTATGTCCACTGCTAGTAAAATAAGCCCAAGAGAGTCAATGTGATTGATAACCTCATCTTTTTCTAACTAAAGTCCAATACTACCATGAATACCAGCCTATGCAAAATCTGACCTAGCAAGCCACCTTTAGTTCCCAGGATGTGCATTGTTGCTTCCTAAAAGTAGTAGTAATTATAGTAGTAATTTCTATTTAGTATACCCTTTTAATTACATTGTAATTATTTGTATTTTCAGAAACTAAAGAGGTAGAAAAATATTGGAAGGTGGGACTGCAGGCCTGTTAAGCTGCTTTCTTCTTAGCAGCTCATCCATTGTCAAGGTCTGATCTAGCTTTATACGTCCTTCAGACAGAACCCGATGTAATCATACTTAGGGCCAATCCATTGGAAAAAAAATGGGCTTAAATCAGCCATAATTAATTACCATTGTTAATAAATTTTGATTGAGATTCCACCCTGGAGTTTATACCATATCATGATAATTATTAAATATATCAGCATGCCAAAATTGAGACGTTTATTTTTGAATGTGCAATTTATCAAATAATAATAATAATAATAATTTTTTGCTTTAACTTACTTTTCAACATCTGTTGAGATATTAGCTATTATTGTGAGATACCAAAACAGTAACCAGGGTGTGGGTGTCTCAGACAGTTATTTGCATGTTACAAATTGCAATATTATCAGAATCCATAGAATGGTTCATGGGGTCATGAAGAGTCGGACATGACAACGACTGAACAACAACAACATAGAAGAGTATGAAGGAAAATCTGTCAACAAGTAACAGCCTAAGAAACTCTTATTTGTTATGGACTTCATCTTAATTTGCATGTGTTTTATTAGAAATATAATCTTCTCTGGACTGTTGGGCAGTGTTGGGCTTCAGGGTTTAGTTATTGTGGCCTAGAGATTTCCTGGCATTTCACTGGCAACTGTGGCCTTTAGCCAAGTTGGTTTACAATTGGTGCAGGTAGGTGTGGAGTGGTCTGGGCTGGGGCAACTTATACCAATTGGAAACCAGCTCAGCTAAAGACCAGTCAGAAGTCAAGATACCTGGCTATAAAGACAGGAGCCCAGTCAGTCTCTGAAGATGCCAGGTTGATAATACATATATGGAAAATGTTGAGTACAATTCTCCAGTAAAAGAACAGGAAGAAATTTATCTCAAATTTCACCATAAGATTTCCAATATATCTTTAATATGAAATTGCTATATTATTAATAATCAATATCAATATTCCATACTTCCTCCTGCAATTTTTTCTTATAGCAACACCCCATGAAATAGGTTGAGCTGAAAGAGAGTGACCAAAGCTTCTATGGTTGAGGATGAACCTGAATCTGAGTCTCCCCAGTCCTACTCCAGTTTCTTAATCCATATACTACCCTGGCTTTCATCCATTCCTTCTGGGCTCATGATTTACACCTCTTCAGATTCCAGCTTTTCTCATGCCAGTTCAGAAATGCTGTGGATAAATACATAATAGCAACATGGCAATAAGCAAAGGATAAGACAGCAATATGATCCTTCACATCCTTTGAGAAGAAGAGGCAGAAAAAGGAGACTTGTTGCTGTTAAAATCAGAGCATTTACTTTCAGAGGACTAAGTTATTCACTTGTAATTGAGCACTAATTTCATTGCATCAACAATTCATTCTATTGAATTATACCGCAAGCAGAGGGGAGCCTCTGACTTTGAGGAAGGCAGAATCAGAATTTTCAAGGGTCCTGGAAATGCCAGGAAGGACTCCTGGAAGCTGTAGTTCAGTACTGTCTAGAGACCACCAGACCCTTATTTTATATCCAATCCAGATATATTCCACGAAAGCACTTCGAAACAAAATGATCCCAGTTTGCTTCCATGGAAATTGTTGCCACCATTGTCACTGACACCTGGAGTGATGTATGGAGGTCTGTCAAAAGACCCTGCATTGTACAAGGCAGCTTGTGGTTTTGTTTTCCAAGTATACGGCTGCCTCAAGTTTCTTAATTACAGTGATGGAATATGCTAGTCATGGAAGCAAATGAGATTAAAGCCAATTAGTTTAGATGTGCATCTGCTTCAAAAGCTGCTTGCATATCAGATTTTATTTCCAAAGCCCTAGCCTCCCTTTACACAAACTTTTTAACATTCTGGCATGACTCTGTGCAGCTATAACAGATTTAACACATAAGCAAAGAAATACACCGTTGCTTTTATTAAGTGAAGATTGCATGCTTCTTGATTACATTTCTGGAGATCTACCCTTTGACCAAAGAAAATTATCTTTATTATTCAGGCTTCTCAAGAGCCTTTATCTTATTTACTTCGGCCTGCAGCTATAATGTTTTACTTTTTGCTTATGAATATATAAAAGGTATAAATAAAAAGGCAATTCATCAGCTTCTTAGTGTTTAGGATAAATATATGTATTTCCTTAAACATTTTCTATTGCTTTTCTGCCTTGGGCTTCGCAGCCCAGCAAGAGCACTGATGTGTAGGGAAACTGTCCAGTCATAAGCCAAGCAAGAATTTTGAATAATAAACTGTAACCACTAATAGCTGAAAAAGCTAATATAAGCTCAGCAGCCAATCTGCCTTCTAGCTCTACACATTATTCTGCCCACCAAGCCCTGCATCTCACATGAAACTGAGTTCCAAGGTCGGTAGTTTCACTCCTCTCTTTTTAGTGAATGCTGTGTCAGAGTCTCCCTGCCACTTTCTCAACCATTTATTCCCCTGCAAAAAGGATTTCTGGATTTCTGTCATACTTTCCGGATTCTTGAGAATTCCTTTTGAATTTCCCTTGGTGATATGTCTGCAGTTAATGTTATTGTAGGATGTAGCAGAAGATACAGTTGCTTGTGTGGTTGCTGTTAAATATTTCCTACCACAGTAAAGCTCCTTAGCTCTCTACG